CAGAAGACAGGACTGCTGCAGGAACTGGTACTGACGGGGTGAAATGCCCTCCCCTCAGTGTGCCCTTTGGCTTCAGACGTGCTGGGGTAGTGAGTGGATGTGGATTTCATTTCTCCTTTTAAGCAGAGTAATGATGCCTCCCTGGGATCTGAGGCTACAGGAAAGTCTGAGACCCTATCACTTCCCCCTAGGCAGAGCTGACGCCCAGGGGCTCAGACCCAGTTGCAGGTCTGAATCATGACAAGGACTGTAAAAAGCAGGGCAGCTTGATACCACTTGAACTCCTTTAATAGACTGCATCCCGCTTTCAGACACATACTACAGCACTTCTGAAACGCAAGCCGATCTCCACGCTCCCTGCTTGAGATCCACAGCCTCTGCCGCTCTCAGGACCCGGTGCAGACGCCTAACCCTAACCCTGCCTAAATGCTCCGCTGTGCTTCCCCAGTCCATCTTCCTCCGAGAACCCCTCCACCGGCTCCCCGCCAACCTGCCCGAATCTCCCTACAGGCCCACATGGGCCCCATATCCATGTCCTGCTATGCTGCAGCCACTGTCCCTCTCTCTCCCTGCACACCCCCTCATTGCACACATCTGGGGAATTCATTTGCCTGGGGTATCTAGGCCTCTGGGGGCTCCCCAATCCCCCCTCTGCTCTCAGAGCCCCTGTACCTGTCTCTACCATAGATTTATCACAAGGGGCCATGTCATCTTCCTAGCTGTCTTCCTCCTGCCAGCCAAGGACTGAGTCTCCTCACCGAGTCCCTGGGACTCCACGGCTCTGGCTCAGAGAAAGTGGTGGGTGAATGTCTACACAATGCACACGCATGAACACATGAATAAAAGCCAGCTGCTGCCTTAGAAAGCACTCCACCCAGCCATGATCCCGGCGCGGAGCTCCCTGAGACCGCTCTTCATTCCTCGGTTTTCATCTCGGTACATTTGTAAAGACACAACAATACCAAGGAGACTGGTTCAACTGGGATTTTTAAAGATTTTCTTAGTACAGATATTAAGTAGAGGGGCTGTTTTATTAAAAGATGCTCAGTCAGAATAAACCTGCCAATGATGAATGAACTAAAGAAGCCCGCCCCCAGGCTTTTATTTATAGACGTCCATTAGTTTCCCCCTCCCTTCGCAGGCACAGAGCTCACACTACAACTGGCTGGGCAAGCCCTTTCTTCCCAGGAGCTCACAAAGAGAGCCATCTGTCCAGTTCCAGGTGGAACTGTCTCACGCCTATCTTCCTGGAGCTGAATCAATGAGGCTTCCCCTAGCCTCTCCTTCTTGTGGGGTTTCCATGGGAATCCTCCCACGCCTGACTGAGCCAGGAGCCCCCAAGGCGGAAGCTCAGGCTGTCAGCCAAAAAGAAGAGCAGGGAGGGGATGGGATGAAGGAGGTTTGCAGGCCAGCGCTCCGCAAGGTCATTTGAAAGAGACACACCTTCCTGGCAGGCCTGGTCAATGCTGCAGCTGCCCCTGTGCCCAGAGGGCTGTCCTAGGCACAGATGGGTTGTTCTGTAGGACAGCTGGTCTCTGTGAGGCCCAGCACGGCTCAGACTGGAGCAAAGTTGGAGGAGAGGGGCTGGGGGAGGGTGCTGCACAATGGGACCCTCTTGGGAAGAATCCTAGGAAGAAAACACAATACTCTTCATGTCCAGCCCTCATTTCTCTTCCAAGCTGAACTCTGCCCAGCTGGTATAACTGGTTGTCTGGAAACGCCGATGCCTGAAAGAAAAGCGAATCTATTCTATTCATACCTCAGACTTGATCTAGGATAATATCACAGGGACCTGCTGGGTTTCTGAAGATCCCTCTGTTAAGCCTGAGCCTGAGGGTTCTGTGGGATCAGTTTTGAGATGCCAGGGGGGAGACTAGGGAGGAGGAGGGGATTGTGAGGAAGCAGGGAGACAGGGAGACCCAGAGAGAGAGAGAGAGAGAGAGAGAGAGAGAGAGGCAGGGCCAGGTGGGAGGGAGCCACTTGGCCCCAGGAATCTGTGACTTGCGTATCTCACAGTGTGGCTGACAGGTGAGATGTCTCTGCGGCCCAATTCGCTGGATTAAGCCTCATTCTTTTCCTGGAGAAGGCAGAACTCCAGGTTCGCCATGGCTGACACCTCACAGCACTAAAAGCCAGGCGGGTGCCTATGGAGAAGCTCTTCCTCTGAACATCACAGCACATAAATGGGTAGAGCTCACAGCAGCTTCCAGCCACCTCCGGGCTCCAGGGACCACCTTGTCTGCCCCATAAATGGGGTGGCCCTTAGGTCACATCTTCAGTCTCTGCTCTTCTGTGTGTGTGTCTTTGCTTATGACTGGCATTTCCAGCCCTTGCAGGTTCCCCCGAACTGGGTCTCTAGCCCTGCCTTCTCTCCTCAGCTCTCACCCACATAGAAGACTCTGGCCTCTCCAGACTAGGGCTCCTTCAAATGACCTTGTGAAGCCAGCTGGCTTCTTTCCACCATAAGTCTCCACCCTCTCCAGATGCCAGACATGGAGGCACCCACTGGCACCTCAGAATCCACATACCCGGGGCTGACCTCAGCCTCTTCCCTCTGGCATAGCAGGTTCCTCTCTGCACATCCCTGTGTCTGCCATGGATCCCCCATCTCAGACTCCATCACTCTATGTCTTCAACTTCCCTTGCCTGGATTACTGCAATGGTCTCCTTACGGGGCTCCAGGACTCCAGTCTATGCTCCCCACCACCTGCCCTACTGCCAAGGGCTAAATCCGACCAAGCTGCCCACCTTCCTTCTCCTTCAACTGCCCTGGTGGCTTCTCCAGGGAGACATTGCACCCCTTAGCTTAGCACATAAGAGTACTCAAAACCTGCTCTTGCTTATTTCTCCCACGCCGGTCTCCCAGCATGGCCCACCGCAGACCAGTCACACCAGACTCCCCCGGCACCTGGGAGCCTTCCCACCTTCTTCTGACACTCATTAATCCCTACCCCACACCCAAGCAGGCCGGGCAGCTACCACTGCAGCCCCTCCATCTTCCTGCATCAGTCTTTGAAATAAAATAGAAACACAAACTGGAGAGAGATTTGAGTGGAATGGCTGGCAAGCTGAATATTGTTAGTTGCCAAAGATAGCTTAATTGCATTTATTACTACTTTTAAGAGGAGGGGAAAAAAATGGAATCAGGGCCCCTGGCTGGGTAGATCAATTGGTTAGAGTATTGTCTGGATATGCCAAAGGTTGTGGGTTTGATCCCTAGTCAGGGCACATACAAGAATCAACCAATGAATGCATAAATGAGTAGAACAAATCAACATTTTTTTTTCTCTCTCTCTCTCTCTTCTTCCCTCCCTCCCTCCTTCCCTCTCTCTAAAATCAATCAATTAAAAAATTTATTTTAAATAAATAGAATCAGAGGGCTGTACCCTGATATAAAGCATGTTTATATCATGCTACTGACACTGTCTTTCTAAGAACTCCATTAATCAACAGTGCTTACAATAATGAAGGGTTTGGAGGATGGGGAGGGATTCCCCATCAGCCTGACTGACAGAAGCTGCAGGATTTGGTTGCAGGGTAGAAGCCCTGTGGTGGAAAAAATCTAGTGCCCTGATCTCCTGTTCCCCAGGTGCAGGGTGCAGTGACTGGCCAGGAAGAAGGTGGGCAGATCCTGAATTCTCCTTTTAATAGCGTTTATCCCAGGCTCAGACATAACATTTCAAGTCTTCCTGATTTAGGCTCATCAGATCTTTGCAATGGGGAGGGTGTTAGGAGGATGGGGACAAAGATTCCTAGAGAGAGAAAGCCTATTTCACCCCACCCCAACTTCCCCCAGAAAAGGATGGAAAGTGTAGAAACTGATTTGGGAGAGATCAGAGTACTTGCCCAAGGTCACACAGCAGGCGGGTGGTGGAGGCAGAATCTGAACTCAAGACTGACTCCAGAGCTGAGCACCCTCCACCTCCTCCTAACAGCGGTTCAGAAGTGCTCTCCTCTCCCAGTTTGCAACAGCCCGGGCTTCAGGCTCCGAAAAGGGCGGCGGCGGCGGGGGAGGGGGAGCACGAATTCCCTCCCGCTCCTGCCCGGCCCCCCGCTTCTCCCACTAGGGAGAGGTTCTGGGCTCAGCATCCCCTCCTGGCTTGGAGCCCATGGTGCGTCCTGTGCTACCCAGATCAACACGTTTGCTGCGCACCAGGCTCTGGCCTTCTCCCTTCTTCAAGACCCCAACCCCCAACCCCCTGCCTGTGACTCGAGGGCAAGGCAACCCCCTCCCTTTCTGAGCACAGCCAAGTTTGTCTCCAAGCAAGACCAGGAACTGGCCCGGAACAGGGATCCGGCCGGGCGACCAGCCACACTACCCTACTACCCCAGCATCAAGAAAAATAAAGAAAATAATAATACGATAGCTATCACTTCACCAGTGCCCACTGAGTGCCTACTGGCGCTTGACTTCCACCGCTCCGAACCCCCCAACCCCGAAGAAAAGGCCCCCAGAACTTACTTAGGTGAGGCAGATGCTGCGGCTCCAGAAAGTTGGATGGCACGCGTGGGCTCACATCGCTGAGAATAATGCTAGTTAAAATTTGAGTGCTTTCTATGTACCACATACGTTACAAGCATAGATCCTACCAGTACCGCTAAAAATGGGTACCATCATCATTCCCATCCTACGGTGAGGAAATCGAGGTTTGAAGACTCGCCCAAGGTCACCCAGTCAGTGAACGACAGATCTTGGACCCAAACCCAGGCAGGGTGACTGGGGGTGGGGGAAGCAGTTTTTTGTGCTGTCTCCATTACTCAGAGAAGTAGCAGGCTTCGAACCTGTGGTTCCAGGGGCTGGCCCCAAACGCGCCAAGGCTGCACGCAAAACACCGGACTCCGACTACTACAGTGGGCAGAGAGGAATTCCCGATGGGACTCAAGCCAGGAGCGCGGGCTGTGGAGAGCACCGGCCCGCACGCGGTCCGCACCGCCAGATCTCGGCTGCCAGATCCTGCGCGCCTCAGGGCGCCCCTCACCAGAAGCTGGAAAATACTCACCATAAAAGAGAGGGCGAGCGCCTGCCCGGGAGGGATCGCCAGCACTTGCAGATCCTGGACTCCCAGGAGAGGCGTCTGCTACCGACGCCCACTCAGGGGCGCCGGAGCTACCCTGAGGATGCCCGCTCTCTCCCTGGGGCCAGGGGTGCGTCCTCACGGCTGGTGCCCAGCAGCAGCACCCCCTCTGCCCGGCAGGGTGGACAGGAGTTGGAGCGTTCTTGGGGAAGTTGGCGCTCAGGCGCAGCGGGAAGGTGAGAGGTCAGATAGGAGTGGGGACGCACCCTCCCGCGCTGATGCCGGGGGCGCGCCGAGGCCCTAGCAGTAGCCGCTCCGAAGCTCCAGCCCGACCCGGAGGGCGGCGAGTCCCGAGCTCAGGGCTCACGGGCCGCGCCTTGGCCGCCGGCTTTTGGCACACCCTGCGTCTTCTCCCGCGCCCTGAGCGCAGGCAGCGGCGGCTGGAGCTGGGGCCCCGGACCCAGCTGCGGTGTGCTCATCGCCCTCCCCTGGGGCTGGGCGCCTTTGTGCGCGGGGCGCGCTGGCCGCTGCGGCCAGCACTGGATGCTGCAGCCGCCTCCGCCTCCCCCTCCTCCGCCGCCGCCTGCTCCCCGCCTTCCCGGCCGGCCCGGAGGCTGCAGCTGAAAGCCGATCCGGCTGAGCTCATCCCTGAAGGCCACTAATCCAATAGCTGCGGAAGGCGCGGCCGCCGGGAACGCCCCTTCCCCCACCATCCTGCGCCCCGGCCCGTCCCAGCTCGGGCCGCTGCCGGCGCCGCCACCTTCCCGAGGCCACCAGCTGGCGGGAGAGGGAAGTGGAGCGGGAGCCCGCGCCCCTGAGCAGAGTCGGCAGCACTGTCGCCATTCACCCGCCCACTCTCGCGTTCACTCCCTCCACTCACACACTCATTCATGCTCCGATCCTCCCCCATTCATTCAAGCCCGCCAGGAGCACCAGGGTGGGTGCCCCCGGAGCGGGAGGAGACACCCACAGTCATTCCGAAGCTTTGGTGTCTTTACCCTACGCACGTGGGAAATAGCAGCCGAAAAAAGAGGATGGTTTAATATCCTATTACTCAGACGCATGTCCACACTTTATTTTTTAAGATCAAGCTCCAACTCATCTCTTGAAGTCCAATTTCACACTGCACTTGCTTCCCAGGGCCCTCCCGGCCCACCGGCGGTGCAGGGAAAAGGGTCTCGGCTCCGCCAGCTACAGCGCTGATGGTGGGCCGCTGCTGTTGGAGTTTGAGCTGAGAGATAAGGAAGAGGGAGTGGCCAAGTGGAGGCCAAGAGGGGGCTTCTAACATCTGTGCTTCCTTGGGGAAATTGAAAATTCCTATTCTGGAAGCCCTAGTCTGTGCCCTCAGACTTGATTTCAGTTGTATCCTACAATCGTTTGGTCTGACCCCAGTTGTCTCTGTGTCAAGCACCGAAAAGCCTAGCTACAGAGCTCCCATTTCATATGGGGCACAGACAAGGAAAGACAATCCAAACAGGTGAAGGAAACACTTTGATGGAGACTGTGGGGCTCCTTTCCTAAGCTGGGAAGGGCGATCTGGGGATTGCTTCCCAGTGAAGTTTGCTACACGTATTGTCTGCTGGAGCAGGGGGACAGGATGTCACTTGGGTCACCTACCACAGCACAGAGCCTGTGAGCAGAAAGTGGTGAGATGAAGTTAGAGTGGCTAGGGTCTTGGGGGCCATCCCAAGAGTTTGGCCTTTCCCCAGGATCATTTGGGGAAGCCTTTAGCCAGGGTAGTGACATTGTCAGATTTGCATTCTAGAAAGATCTCTCAGCATCAGAGTGGATGGATGGAGGAAACAGCTTGAAAGCCACTGAAATGGCCCAAGCAAAGATAATGCTTCATGGATCAGGGCAGTTGTGGTGGGGTGACAAAAGAACGTATTGATCAAGTATTTATTACACTTATTCTACTGTTTTGTTAATGCATTTGTACATCTGTCTCCCTCCTAATACTGTGAACCCCAAGGAGGGCGAGTATCTATATTTTATATCTCTAGATCACCTGTGCCCAGCCCAGAACAGATGTTGAGTAAATGTGATTGAATTGCTCTGAGTGGCAGTTTAGACCTCCCTTCACACTTCTCCACAGCATCCTTCTTCTCCCCATCAGGAAGCTCCTAGAGCACCTATCTGACAAACTACTGTGGGGGCAATGGACATGGTTGGGGGACAAGGAAAGAAAATTTGAGAAAAGAAGATCAGAAGCAAAGGGGACTTTAAAGAAGACTTTTAAGCTGATGGTTTCTCCACCTGGACCCAACACAATCTGGTTGACGAGGTGGATGAAGGTATACCCACTGCTTCCGCTCCTTGCTAGGAAACATTATAGCAGCTTCGGGCACAAGATGGGGAGGGAGCAATGACCACAATTTGAAAAACTATCTCCTTCCCTTGGGGACTCCAGATAGGCTCCACACTGGCCCCTCCAAATGAGACAATGCTTCAGGCACAAAGGAGTGTCCGCAACATACCTCAAGTATCCCTGTAGGCCCCAAAGTACTCCAATCCCTGAACATCAGGGGACAGAACTTGCCATTTTGGGAGAAGCCAGGATATCGTGGCTATGACAACTCTTCAGATTCAAGTGAGTATCCTCTAAAATGATCCCTGGTTTTTGGTTTCACACCTTTGTGTAACCCCTTCCCTTAAATGTGAGCTGGCCTTATTGACTTGCTTCTTAGCAATAGAACACCTTGAAGTGATGAGTTATGCCTTCTAAGATTAGGTTATTTTAAAATGTGGCTTCTCGCCCTGGCCAGTTTGGCTCAGTGGTTAGAGCGTCGGCCTGCGGTCCGGAGAGACCCGGGTTCGGTTCCCGCTAAGGGCATGTACTTCGGTTGCAGTTTGTCCCCGGCCCTGGTTGGTCGTGCGGGTGGCAGCCACTCGATGTGTCCCTTCACATCGATGTTTCTCTCTCTCTCCCTTCCTCTCTCTCCCTCCCACTCCATCTGTACAAAAAATGGAAAAATATCCTCGGGTGAGGATAAAAAAAAAAAAAAAAAAAAAAAAAAAATGTGGCTTCTCCTGCCCTGGCCAATTTGGCTTAGCGGTTAGAGCATCTTCCTGGGAACCAGAGAGTCCTGGGTTCGTTTCCACTAAGGGCATGTACCTCGGTTGCAGTTTGCCCCTGGCCCCAACCAGAGTCATGTGGGTGGCAACTACTCGATGTGTCTCTCTCACATCTATGTTTCTCTCTCTCTCTCCCTCCTTCTCTATCTAAAGATAAATACAAAAATGTCCTCGGGTGAGGATAAAAAAAAAAAAAAAATGTGGCTTCTCCTAAAACACCAATCAGAAAGAATATATGTACCCCTATGTTCATAGCAGCACTATTTACAATTGCTAAGATTTAGAAACAGCCCAAGTGTCCATCAATTGATGAGTGGATGTACACAATGGAATACTATGCAGCTCTAAGAAAGAGAGATCTCTTATCCTTTGAGACGACATGGAGGGAGCTGGAAAGCATTATGCCAAGTGAAATAAGCCAATCAGAGAAAGACAAATACTACATGATCTCACTTATTTGTGGAATATAATAAACAAAATAAGCTGATGAGCAAAATAGACCCAGAGACATAGAAAGGAGTACGGTTCAGACTGATAAACCTCAGAGGAGGGGGACGGGGGACAGGGATAAGATAAACCAAAGAACTTATATGCCTGTGTGCATAACCAATGGACATAGACAACAATGCTGGGGGTGGGGGGAATCGGGAGGAGGGTGTCTAGGGGGGAAAAAGGAGAAACATCTGTAACAAAAATACATTAATAAAAATTGCAAAAAATAAAATAAAATAAAAACAATTATTTAAAAAAGTGTGGCTTCTGTTTTGAGCATCTTCTCCCTCTTGTTCTCCCTCTTGCTCTCTTTTGGGATTGCCTCTCTGGAAGAAGCCAGCCGCCAACTTCTGCCTCGTGGAGAGGCCCATGTGGTGGGGGACTGAGGCCTGCCAACAACCATGTGAGTGATCTTAGAAGTGGATTTCTCCCCAGCGGAGCCTTCATATGAGATTGTAGCCCGTTTGACACCTTGACTGTGATTCATGAGAAACCTTGAATGAGAGATACTCAGCTGGGCTGTGCCGATTCCTGACCCACAGAAACTGGAAGAGAATAGATGTTTGTTGTCTTAAGCTGCTAAATTTTGGGGTAATTTGTTGTGTAGCAATAGATAATTAATACAATATGTTCTTAACTGTCCAAGGATGATTCAAAAAATAAACCCTCAAAGCACTAGCCACTCAAAGGGAAGCACAATATTTCACAAGCACAGCCTTGGCTTAAATTTCAATTCCGATTCTTCGTGTCTTAGCTTTCTCACTGTAACATGGGGACAGAAGACTTTCCTGAGGATGGTTATGTGTTGTAGTGTGCTGCATAGTAGGTGCTCAATAAATGTTTTTCTTCTTCTTCTTACCAAAATCTGCAGTGATCTTGGAATTCTTGAACTGACGCAGAGTCATGCTCGGAGCAGAAGGTCCATTAGGAGGCCGCCCCGTCAGGGGTACAGAACTGCTGTTCATACTGCAAAGCTGTGAACCCCGCCACTGCTTGCCTCTTCTCCCAACAGGGCTCGGTTTAGCATCTACTTAGCAGGTGCCAGGTACTGCAGCCTTGGTCTTCTCTGTCTTCCACAAGTATCAACCATGGTTTAACAGAAGTCAAGGGAAAATTCTCAGGTGTGAGACATGTTGGAGCTTGAAGCTTGTTCTGAGGATGCACAGGCCACGGAGGAGTATGGTGGGGTGTGAGGTCTGCATGTTTCTGCCCTCCCTCCCTCCTTCCTTTTGACCAGCCTCCAGTGTGGTATCGGCCATAAGGTGCTCATCTCTCTGATCTTGTCCCTCTTCCCAACTCAGGCACCACCATGTGTCCCCCCAGCCACGGCAGCAGCCTCCTCGCCGTGCCCTACTGCCAGAGCCTTCTTCCTAAAGTAAAATCTCCCCTGCGGCTCCCTTCAGAGGTGCCCCGTGGCCCACGGGATGGTTTCCCCACTTCTTAGCTGAATCTGGCTCCTGTGTGCAAGTCTCACTCCCCCATCTGTGCTCTGGGTCAGGCCACACTGAGACCCTCAGCAGTTCTGATGAGCTGAGCTTTCTCCCCGGCACAGTCCTCTGTGCACACTGACCTTTCGGCCGGTACGAATGCCCCAGGGAACTCTGACTCACCCTTCAGCTCTCTGCCTGTGTGCAGTGTCTGCCCCGGAAGCCTCCGGACACCCTAGGCTCAGTGTGCACACTTCCCTCTCCAGGGGGCCCGACCCCACTGTGGCTGTTGCCTCTTCTCCTGCCACCCCCCTGCCCCAAGATGGAGCATTTCTAGGGCAGAGCTGTCTCATCTTTGTAGCCGCTGCACTCCCACCAACATCCTCATCTCGCTCATTTCTCAGAGTCCAAAGCTCTAGAGTCTTCCCAAGGAGCCCTGGGTGGGCCAGGGGCTCTTCTCTGAGCTCTGAGCACGCTGTTGCCTTACCTGTCACACGCTTTGCGACACCTTTGGGAATGTCAGGCTCCTGCAGCACAGTGACTCTGTTAGAGCAGGACTGTCTGATTCATCCCAGTGCCGCTGGCTCAGCACCTCACCTAGGGCCAGGTACGCGGCAGACATCTAACACATGCTTATGG